TTGTAACCTGCCCTTTTGAGTTTATTAACAGTCTTTCTCATGCAAAATACACACCTTACTCTAAAACATTAAGTCCCAAGAACTTTGGGCATCAGCAAAGCTATATAATCCTACCTAGAAAAGCAGGTACCAAAGAAAATACAGAGAAATAAATGGGAAATTTTAGATAAGTGTCATTTTTACTACTAACATAGATAACATTTGTTAATTACATGCTCTATGCTGGGCACTAAGCATTCATTATCTCATTTGATTCTTAAGAAGTAGAAATTATGATACTACATGTTACACAGGTGGAAACCAAGGTTTGGAGACTGTTCAGCATCACACAGTAATAGGGGATTGAGGCTGGATTCCAACCAAGCCAGGTAGAGCACAGAGCTTGTGCTATCCATGCAAAATTTCTTATAAGAATCTCAGAAACTCACTCAATTATATATATATATTTTTTCAGGTGGAAAAAAAGCATCCAAAAAGAGAAAGAGATTTGCCCAAACCTTGCTATGACTCAGTGTCAGAGCATAAGTCCCTCATCTCTAGGTCAAGGTCTCTGTATATTATTCATGTGCTCCCAGCCTCAGCCTGCAGAGAGATGGAGAAGCCATGGAAGAAGGGGTGATGGGGACTTGAAGCAAAAGAAGAAAAATAGACAGAGGACAAAATGAGAGTGACTGCTTTTTCTTCATACCAGCTTTGTTTGGTAGCCATATTCCCCTCATCCAGCATCATTTCGAGACCTGCAGTGAGCCTGTCTCACCCATTTCTAACAAAACCTGACTCCCTTGGAAAGGACTAAAGCACCCCAGTACCCAGGTTGTCATGACACTTTAAACAGACTTGTCATTTGAGCTTGGGGAGGGGAGAGGAAACTGGAAACTTTTAGGAAGCCACTTCTATTTCACCAGCTCCATTGCAGTGATCACTAAATGGAGAGGAATGGTGGAACTGAAAAGACGGTCCTGCCTCTCCATACTAGTTTCTTTATGAATCCTTATTACCAAAGGACCACACTCCTCTCCACAGTCTCCACAGCTCTGTCCGAGCTCTCCATAGCATTGTCCATGGAGCTCTCCCTGAATTTTGACCCCAGCTGCACTGGTTCTCATTTAACGCCTCCAAGGGTGATGTTTGGTCATTCTTCAGGTCTTAGCAAAAGCTAGACTTTCTATGTGGAAAGCTCTCAAGTTCCTCCTTTTCTCCAAACCCAGTCCTCCACCTTCACTTAATGCACATAACCCCAAAGGATTCAGTTCAAATGTCTTTTTCTCAGGAAAACCATTCCTGATCCCACAAGGCCCTTTGTTACACACTTTTAACCAACTGGCTGAGACTTCTCCTTGGTACTTTGCAGTCTGACTACTTATTTGTGTGATTGTTTTATAAATATCTTCACAAGTCTGTAAACTCCATCAAGATAAATAGCATGCTCATTTATCAAATTGTTCATTTTTGAAGGTGTAACACAATACCCAAAAATACCAGTTGAATTAACGAATGAATAGCTAGTGCTTCCTGCAGTCTAGTTTTCCTGCAAGGAGAATAGTGACATCTAGTGACCACTTTCACACACCTGGGATTCTCTAATAACACCACTAATTGTCCTCAGAATGACCTCACTTGATTTGTAAAAAAATAAATATTCCAATGATGGCCAGGGAAGCCAGCATAGAATGCAGACATGGGGGGAATCTGGCTCCTGGACAAATAAAAGGAATCGCCAGTCTCTCTGCTGCCACACATGATATCAAGAATACGTTGCAAAGGTCCCATGACTTAGCTTGCATTATGCCACACTGCAGATGAGGGAAGTATAGCCCAGAAAGGCAGTCACTGGGGCAAATTCACATAGAAGTAAATAGGGATAAACTTAGTATATTCACTGAGTCCTATAGAGCCAGCCCTACACAGCTACCAAGGTGTTACTTTTCTCATCCTCACTGATGTAACACTAGTCAGATCACCGTTGGTAATCATTGGAGGCTGCCACAGCCTCCTCATAGGTCTCCCTGATTCTTCTCTTGTATTCCCCTAGTCTATTCTGACCTTGTAACCAGAGGCATGAAGACACACATGCATTTTGTTGTTGTTCTTATTAGTTTGGGGACCTGTGATACATAGAATTAGACTTGTGTGATGCTCGGTTCAGGACTCAAGCTCATCATATCATGCATGGCTACGTCTTATTTATTCATTCATTCAGTTAGTTAGTTAGTTTGAATAAACTTCAAATCCACCACCAAAATCACCAGCTAGGAACTTGACTACTTGAATGTAACTAAAGTTCCCTCGTGCTATGCCTCCTCTGACTCAAGATATCATTATCATATGACTTTTTTTCTTTTCTCTCTTTTTCTTTTACTAGAGAGTACATGTAGTAGCCAGAGAGAGATGAGAAAAAGAGAAAGGAGAAAGCCCTCTTTCCCACTCATGGGGAATGGTCATACTGCAACCCCTTCTCCATCTCTCCCTTCTTTTGAGATTTTGGACACACAGGTATACACACCCAGTGTGTTTCTCATGGTCTAAGACTTGAACCACAGGTGGCCACGTGAAATCTGGCTGCTTTTATCATCAGGCCATAGAGCTGGCTCCCATGTTCATTTATTCATTGTTTTCCTTTTTAAACAGCTTTATTGCCTCTACATTTATTCCTAAAAGGTAGTGTATTTCAGGTGTGTAGGTATGCACACGATGGGGGAAAGGGTAATATGGTATATAAAAATCTATCTTTTCAGGGGCCAGCAGGTGGCATGGTGGTTAAGGAGCTGGACTTCCATGTGACCAATCATAGTTCGAGTCCCGTACACAGCAGCTTAAAACTCATGCCAGGCATGTGTTCACGCTGCCCAAAATCCCAGGAGGAGAATGGAAGAGAAGTGACAATCCTCCCTGAGGGTGATTTCTCACTTTCCCCTCTCACTGTTTCTCACTGGTGAGCACACATGCCCTATGGCAAAATAATAATAATACTACTAATAAAATCTATCTTTTGAGACTCATTTTCTTCATTTAGTATTATGTTCACTCATTTCACATTGATAGGTGTTACTACAGTTCATCTCTTTTATCTACTGTAGTGTATTCTTTTTTCTTTTTTTTAGTTTTTTTTTTTTTTTTTTTTTTTGAGTCTTCTGTTTTGTTTTGCTTTTGCCATAGGGTGCATTCACTCACCAGACAGAGACAGAGAGAATGAAATGAGAAGCCACCCACCAAGGGGAATGGACACACTGCAGTCCCCACTCCTCCAATTCCCCTTGAGATTTTAGGCATTTACACACATGCACCAGCATGATTTCCAAGCTGCTAGGTCCAAGACTTGAGCCACAGTGGGCCATGTAGGAGTCCAGTGCCTGAACCACCACACCACCTGCTGCCCCAGTTATAGTATAATTTATTGCATGCATATCCAACACTTTATTTAAACACTTTTGCATGAATGGTCTCATTAACATCCTCAATGATCAGGTCCATTTCTTTTTTTTTTTTTTTTTGAAGAGGTTTTCACTATAGGGCGCGCGTGCTTGCCAGACAGACAGAGAGAGACATAGAGACAGAAAGCGAGAAATCACCCCCCAGGGAGGTGATGCCGCAATCCCTTCTCCTCCATTTTCCTCTTGGGATCTTGGCCACGCACGCACACGCGCCCGGGTGAGTTTTAAGCCACTAGGTCCAGGATGTGAACCGCGGTCGACTATGTGGGAGTCCAGCGACATAGCCATTACGCTAACTGCTGGTTCCCAATGATCAGGTCCATTTCAATCCCTCTAGTCTTATCCTAGCTCTGCCTCTATCTCTTGGTTTTCATCTTAAGGAATTTCTTTTGGCCTTTGTATAGACCATGTTCTCTCCTTGTTTAGGTCATCTATGTGACACTCTCCCCACCGCCTTACCCCCATCTCTTCTCTGTCATCTATGAAGCCCTACCTGACCTCTCCATACCCTCAAGCACTGAGCCTACTTGGGTGCTATGGAAGAGGCATATGATCCACACAGTTTTATTGGACTTAGCCAGTGGTCTACCCCATTGTCTTCTTGGAAGGCCTAAGGCTGTCTGGGAAGTGCCTCACTGAAGTCATAGAATAAATACTCTTATTTTATGAACTGGGATTCCTGAATGGTTGCCTTTGGAAAAAGTGCTCCATGAACACAAGCTTGCAAATGAGTGAACTAAATAACTCACATGATCTCTTCAAGTTCTAATATGCTGTAATTAAAACTTAGAGACACAGAAGAGAAAAAGAGAATATCTAATTCTATGGGTAAGCACATATGCTCTGAAGTAGACCACTTTGAACAAATCGATGAACATCTTTGAAGTTTCCTCAGTTGTAATGTAGGCATGACATTAAAATGAACCATATGGAATTGCCATTTTTATAAATACCATGTGGTCAAATGTCACCAATTTTATATGAATCAGCCCAATATTTATAAGTAAATCATAGATCTGGAGAACACATGAAATTAAATGATCCAAGTGTAGCACCGAAGTGGACACTGCTAGGTTTTTGTCAAACACCTGTCTTCTTTGCCTAGACACAAAGCCAGGACATAGTTTTGCAGATAGGTGAGGATAATGGCTGAGTTCCATTCAACAGAATGGGAGCTGAAATGGCATTTGTCACTTTCAGTCTATGCCCATTTAACCTTGCCACATGAAACCTCTCAAGTTCTTTCTTCTTCCACAGCAACCATGGAAGCATCAGGTCAATGTCAACAGGGCATGTTGGAACAGGCTAGGTCACTGAACTACTTTTCAGAGTAATGTCACCCATTTGAGACTCCACACAAATTCTATTGTATTAAACCGCTAAGATTTGAAGACTTTTCAGTTATAGCAATGAGTGTTATCAAGCTATAAATATTTAGAACATGGTAAGGAATCCATGCATGCTGGTAATCATGATGAAGATGACAATCTGCATGAACAAGGGGTCCATAACAACAGGATGTAGGAGGTCTGGTCATATTTGACTCAGAGTCTGGGCAGGGGACCTCACCTCCTTCGTGCCATTGTCTTGGATGAGAGTATAAAGTGGCACCACACGGTTGATTTCCAGCAGCACGGGTGTGGGGCTCAGCTGCTCCTTGCCTGGCCTTCGGCAAAGGTGACAGGTGGATGGACAGCGACCCTTCTCCTCACAGCGAATCTCCACACCTGAGATGAGCTGGTCATCTGACAGCATCTGAGCTGTCAACAGACCTGAGAGGTAGGTGATGAAAGGCATAGACTTGAGCTCCTTCTTGCTGCCCAGCTCTGTGGTCTCTGGAGAGAAACAAAAAGAAAAAGAAGTAAATTCTGTATTTTCTTTAAAAAGGCCAGACTCTTCAACACATAAGGAGCATATGCTGAAGAGCTGATATCTGTTGAAAAGGAAAAAAGATGATAGCTTGTTCTACTATATGCTTTAGAAGAACTATTGGCCTGAGGGTTCAGAGATCAGAATGATGTCTTATTCTATAATTTATAGTCAATATCTTCTTGCATTTTCTGGCCCTCACTTTAAAGTTTATAGATTGGGATGGATAATTCTCCATGGATCTTACAAAATGTAAATATTCTTTTTTTTTTTCAATTTCCAAAGGGAATGTGAGAGAAAGACAGAATGAAGCAGAGGAAGAAAGCATCCCCCATGGAGTATGGTCAAGCCACTATCCCTTCTCCTTCACTTCTCCATCCTGTCAGGATTTTTGGTATGGATGTATTAGCAACCAGTGTGTTTTTCAAGTTGCTGAAACCAGAACCTGAATGAACTATAGTAGGCCACGTGGAATCCAGCTCCTTAACCACCAGGTTTCAAGGAAAGCCCAAGATAAAACTTGAAAGATATTTTTCACTACCAGAAACTCATTTCTATTTTCAACCTATATAGTTAACAGCCTTCTTTTAAAATTTTGCTCCAGTTCTATATTTTCTACTAAGTTCATTAAATAATAGCTGGGGTCAAGTCAATTTTGGTTTAAATCTCAGTTTTATTTGATAATACCTCTCTGCAACTTTGGAAAGGCTCTTAATATCTAGGAGACTCTAGTGGTTAATTCAGTGAAATGGGATTTATATCAACAAAACTGGTTATGAGTAATAAATGAGATAGATGTAGAACAACTGTCTGGAAAAAACATTATTTCCCCTTTCTTTCTATGCTCACCCGTTCTCTTGTTCAAGCTTTTCTCCCTGTCTCTTTCTTCATGCGAACGCTGATTTTTAATTCATGTATGTTCCATTCTACCCTATTCCTCTTGACCTATGCAACTAGTATTTTCCATCTCCTATGTCTTTAGTCACCCTGTCCTGATTTTCCCCTTTGCCTCTCCCAATCCTTTCTATTCATCAGTACTCCACTTTAATATTTCTTGCTTCAGGAAGTCTGTCCTTACCATCTCAGCCCCTCTTCTCTATATAAGTATTTTTTTCTGTGATAGCTTATCTGCTGCTGACCTTTCCAAAGATATTATCAGCTCTTAGATACCAGAGGCCATGTCTCCCATCCATGCTCACTTTCATTATCTAGCATGGTGCTAGGGATATACTTGAGACTCAGTCAAAGAAGAACACTATAGAACACTGAATGACTTTAACTATATTCATGATCTAGTTTAGAGACTCCAAAATTCTTCTGAGCCATTCTAGGATCATAGGAAAACACCTTGGCCACTGTTTGCTTGGTACCAGGGGGAAGAAACTGAGCAGGCAGGGCCATAAACCTCTATCTCAGCTTCAAATGGAGCAGTTCCATCTCAATTTGTTATTGACTGGCCTTCAATATGAGATTTCATAAAAAAAAGAAAGAGTTCTATGGGCATATCAAAAAGTTTGAAGAAGCAAAGTGATGTGTACAAGCTAGAGGGCTACATTGATATCATAGACTATGTGAAAGTTATGTGCAGTACACAATCTGAGTAACGAAATGGAATGACCATATGCTACGGGGCAGAGATTGTATCATATGGCAGCTTCTACCAATTCTGGTGAAGTCAAGGCAAGCTCCTGCCTTAGTGGAAACAGGAGCCCTAGGCACTAGGATGGAGGAAGAAGAAGCATTTTTTCCTGCTCTTGCTCTCAGCGTGCAGTGACATGCAGCTGATCTGGAAATAGGCTTGCCAATTAGAAATACAAATAAACGCAGCCTTCATTCATTACTCCCTGGGCCCTGGGGCCTGGGATCTGGGCTCCACCTTTTCTGTCTGGCTGTCAGCAAATGCTTATGAGCATCAGATCAAAGGCTTGGGGGAAGAAGACAAGACAAATTCCAACTAGCCAATCCTTCAGAGGGATTAAGGAAGGGTAGTTACTAAGATAAACAAAACAAGGCTTGAAGAAGGCATCCCAGCAGCTGGGAAGATGGAGACAGTCTTATATACAGACATGACAAAAAAGAAAATGATGACGATTTTTGAATTGCAGACCAGAGAGACAGTTTTGGAGAAGGATAACTTCAAACTTGGAAGAGGATAGCCACTTGAGGAGAAGGTCAAGAGGGAGTCAGAACTGTGAAGACATTAGGGATCAATTAGCGTCCACTCTGGCCTACGTAGATAAATTACTACGGCCCACAGGCCAAATTCAGTCCACTTGCTGCTTTTGTAAATAAAGTTTTATTATAACATAGACACCTCCATTCACGTATATATTGTGTATGGCCACAATGGTAGAGTTGAGTAGTTATAAGGAAGGCTGATCACGAAGCCTAAAATATGCATTATATGATCCTTTACAGAAAAAAATTGGCAACTTCTGCTCTAGCACTAGTTTATAGATGGGAAAACTAAGTTTCAGAGTGAAGACTCACAGTCACACAGGAATATGGTTATATGATGGATTAAAGTAAAAAATTTGGAATCAAATAGACAATTGATATATTTGGATTAGGATTTTCACAGAGGAAAAAATTACAGTGAGACCTATTTTCCCCATAGAGCCTATTTTTAAAACTATTTAAAAGAACACATATTGAAATATTGATTTAACACAAACCTTCCCATTCTAGACAAGAAGAAATGTGTCCAAAAAAGGAAAATGAGTTACCAGAGTTAAGCACTGAGTTCAAGATCTTTTCGGCACATGATCTTCTTATAACCAATTCATCACTTGAAATACTGTTATCTCATATTTTGAAACACAGATTTCATGCCCCTCATTGCTTCTGATATACGCGTATAATTTAATTAGAAAGGAATGTAAGCTGGTGCTGGGAGTTACAAATCACTTCACCAAACCCACCTTTATTGCCATTGTGCCATTGGATTAAAGACATAACTATTCATTTAACAGCAAAATAATCTACGGATCTTTGCTGGCCTGTTTTTGTTGGGGGGGGGGACCTTAGCTTTTTCAGTGTATTGTCCCAATAAGTGGGCTTAAAATTCCATAGTTCAGGCTGGAAACTGCATCACAGTAGCATATATCACAGTAGCACTATAGAATTTACAACTGAACTTAAGGGCCAGTCTTACAAAAGTTGGGAACTTGGCTATTATCCAGTATAACCCTACCACTTAACAGGCGAGAAGCCTGAGATCATAATAGAGAAAGAGACTTACTTCAAAGTCCTATGCACATTTATTAACAGTGATCCTTTTCTTAATGCTTGTGTCATACCTAAGTTATGATCTAGATGAGAGTTGCAGCAGGGAAGACCATTAGCCGTGTCATTATTCTTCTACAGACATCATTGTGAAACCCAACTTCTTCTGATCTAACCCTACCTGATGGCTAAATTCATCCTTTCGAAAGGCAAATTTAACATTCTTCTCCTACTTGAAATTCTTCTGTGGCACTTCACTGCTCTTAGGACCAACACCAAAATCCTTAAGATAGCACAAAGACTATGTGGGATCTAGAAGACCTCTGCCTTTCTAATCGGATCTCCTACGCTGGTCCTTCCAGGTCTCCTACTGTTAGCTACAATGGCCCGTGAGTTCCTGACATACATCTTGTGCCTTCTCTCAGTCCCGAAACATGCCTTTCCATCTGTGTAGAATTCTTTTCCCCATCCCACTCTCAGCCCTTGCCTACTACTGCCTAATGTCCACTTAACCTTCAGATTTTAGTCCCTGTGCCAATTCCTCACAAAAGCCTTCCCTAGACTCCTCATGCCAGTAATATGTATTAAGACTTCATGTTATAGATGCTCATAGCAGGGCATACTTTTCATCTCCTATTAGTGTCTTGAGACTGTAAACTCCATGAAGGCAAAGGCAGCAATGGCTTAGCTAATTCCCATATCCACCTTACACAGTACTGTAACACGGTAAGCTTCCAAAAATATTTCCAATAAATATTTGTGTCATATACAGTGTATTTATATATCCTGATCATTGTGCTATCATATCAAAGCATCAATTAACCTACAACCAGGGCTTATGATAAGGATGCTAACAATCAAGACCTATTATCAAGATAATCTCTTTCCAAAGTAAAATTAGCTCTCTTCATCAAAAGGTCAACAGATGGTTGATCAATTTGCCAGTTAGTCTGACCTGCTGTAAGTTTTCAAGTAAGCTCTTGTCATTGAGGGAATGGGAGAGTTAGGTTAAAACAGGCTGACTTGGGACCAGCAGTTAGAGTAATGGCTATGTCGCTGGACTCCCATGTAGTCGACCGCGGTTCACATCCCGGACCTGGTAGCTTAAAACTCACACCGAGCGCGTATGTGTGCATGCCCAAGATCCTGAGAGGAGAATGGAGGAGAAGGGATTGTGGTGTGGCCATACCCCGTAGGGGGTGATTTCTCACTTTCTATCTCTCTGTCTCTCTCTGTCTGTCTGGCGAGCGCACGCGCTCTATAGCAAAAACCTCTCAAAAAAAACAAAATCAAAAAAAAAAAAAAAAAAACAGGCTGTCTTTAACAGGCCAAGGATAAAGAGCATTTTTTGAAGAGACTTATCCTCTGTTCACATTTCCCATCCGTCTGAACAATGCTTCCAAAATAGGATCATGTCTGGTTTCAAGCCCAATTCAGTTCCAATGACACTACAACCCATTCATTTGAGAATCTGCCAACTGAACTCTCTTTTTTCTCCTCCCAAATTCCTGAAAATTTTGTTGCCACCAAAAAAAAAAAAAAAAAGCTTCAGTTGAAGTGACAACTCCTTGTTGGGAGGGCAGCCAGGGCTTTTCGGCAGGAGGTGATGGCACCGCTTGCCCTCATCCAGAAAACAAAACAAAGGCATCAGACTAAGGGCTTCTGGGAGAGCCAAAGCTGCGCGGATGTTTGTTCAATATTCAGCAACAGCGCAGGGCGCTGCCTCCCTAGTCAGACAGGC